GTCCCACTATCACAGGGTGCTCCAAGCCTCATCCATCCAGCATTTCCAGGGATGGAAGGAATTCTCCYACCCCTCTGGAGCTCTGAGCCATTGTGGGGTGTCCTTGTGGCTGGGGACACGGGGGTGACACGGGTGTTGTGCAGTTGCAGGAGCGCACGTCCAGCAGCGATTCCCTGCCCAGCAGCGTGGCCACCAAGGGGCTGGACTCGGACCTCAACAGTGACCAGGACAAGGCCAAGGACTGCAATGGGCAGGTGGTGCCCAAGATCACCCTGCAGAGATCCGACACCGTCATCGACGTAGGTGCCACCTGTGTCCCTGCTGTCACCCCTGAGGGTGCCCACCCTGACAAACCCCCCGGGGGGACAGGGTTGGGTCCCACCAGCCTTTTTGGGGTCCTGAGGTCTGTCCAGACCATGCTCTGCTTTCTGCCATGGAATAACCCTGCATCCCTCCCCTTCTCCTCCCAGTTCAACCCCACCTACGAGCCTGAGAAGCCGGACCTCAACCACCTCACCGTGGGCAACCAGGACGGGCCAGGGCTGGACAAGAGGGTGGGAAGCGCCATCAGTGTCATCTCCAACGCTGTGGAAGGTACAAATCCCCAGGAGAGGTCTCTGGTGGATGTTGGAGGGTCTGGGTTTGTGACAGGGTCTGCCCCAAATCCCCGGCCCCACACGAGGGATGACCCCACAACCAGGGTGTCCATATGGTGTCAGTGATGCTCAGGCAAGGCTTTTCATCCCATCTCACCGGAATGGAGCAGCAGAAGGTCCGAGGATGAGGCTGAGAAGGTCAGGGTTGAGGGACAGCAGCCCCACGAGTCCCTGATGGGATATTGGCCCCATCCCCATTGCTCCCAACCCTTGGGACCTCAGGAGGGAGCCAAGGCTTCTCTCTGTCCCCACCAGTCCCAGCCCAGTGCCACAGCCTGCAGGAAGGTCCCTGGGCAATGACCAATCCTTGGAGAAGATGAGAGCCAAATATTTCCCTCTTCCCACAGCCAGGAGGCAATAACCCTGTATCTCACATAATAATCCCATATCTCACACGATAATCCTGTATCTCACACAATAATCCTGTATCTCACACAATAATCCCATATCTCACGCAATAATCCCATATCTCACACAATAATCCCATATCTCACACAATAATCCCATATCTCACATAATAATCCCATATCTCACACAATAATCCAGTATCTGATACAATAATCCAATATCTCATACAATAAAGCAGTATCTCACACAATAATCCCATATCTCATGCAATAATCCTATATCTCACACAATAATATGATACCACAAACAATAATCTGACATCTCACACAATAATCTGACATCTCACACAATAATCTGATATCTTTGCACAATAACCCAATATTTCGCACAATAACCCGTTACCTCACTCAAATTAATGGGATTGCAATCAATTAGAGGAATTTCCAGAGCCAGCTGGAAGCTGCTGAGCAGTTTCCCAGGAGCTGCTGTGTCAGCCCCAGCAAAAGCACCACAAACTCAGCAGTTGATGTCCCCTGTCCCCCTGAGAGGGGGCATGGAGCCCTCTGGCCACTCCAGAGTGATTCCCGTGGATGTTCCGACAATCTCAGGGTGGCAGGGACACCCCAAACCCTGCCCAGGGGCTGAGAGCAGGGCTGGGCCCGCAGTGCCCTGGCTGATCTGCCTTTCCATCCCTCTCCATCCCTTTCCATCCCTCTCCATCCCTTTCCATCCCTCTCCAGCTGAGAGGGCAAGGTCTGCCACCCCTCAGTGCCTGGGCAGGGAAAGGCTCCTCCTTTCAGCCCCCCTATTTTTGGGGTGCCACAATACAGAAAAGCTCTAAAGCTGTTAGAAATGTCCAACGGATGGGTAAGAAGATGGGGAAGGATCTGGAGGGGCTGAGGTCAGTCGGTTTGTTCAGTTGGAGAAAAGGAGCTGGAGGTCAGACCTCATCTCCTCCCCAGGGCAGCTCCGATCACTGCTCCCTGTGACAGGAACAGGGCCCAGGGAAGGGCTGGAGCTGTGCCAGGGGGATTTGGGATGAGATCAGGATTCTTCTCCAGAGGGTGCTGGCACTGCCCAGGCTCCCCAGGGAATGGTCCGGCCCCCAAAGCTGCCAGAGCTCCAGGAGGGGATGCCCAGGGTGGAATTGTTAGGGTGTCTCTGCCAGGCTGGGGTGGCACTGGACAATCCCTGTGGATCCCAGCCCAGGATATTCCATGAAATTAAACTCTTGGATAATCCAGAGCTGCTCCAGGAGCTCAGGAGCACCCCTCACCTGCCCAGCCAGGTGAGGACAGGATGACCCCACACTGATGTCATTTTCCTTCCCYGCCCTCAGAGCTGGAGGAAGCTCACCAGAAGTGCCCGCCCTGGTGGTACAAATTTGCCCACACCTTCCTGGTGTGGAACTGCTGCCCTCCGTGGGTGAAGCTGAAGGAGTTTGTCAAGCTGGTGGTGATGGACCCCTTCGTGGACCTGGGCATCACCATCTGCATCGTGCTCAACACCCTCTTCATGGCCATGGAGCACTACCCCATGACCGAGGAGTTCGAGAATGTGCTGAGCGTGGGCAACCTGGTAGGGAGCTCCACAGACTCCATCTTTGGGGCCACAGCAGCCCCACATCCCACCCTGGAGGGCAGATTCCCCCTCTTCTAGCCCGTGGGGACAGGTCCCAGCCCGTGGGGACAGGTTCCAGCCTGTGGGGACAGTCCCAGACCGTGGGGACAGGTCCCAGCCCGTGGGGACAGGTCCCAGACCGTGGGGACAGGTTCCAGCCTGTGGGGACAGTCCCAGACCGTGGGGACAGGAACCAGCCTGTGGGGACAGGTCCCAGACTGTGGGGACAGTCCCAGACCGTGGGGACAGGAACCAGCCTGTGGGGACAGGTCCCAGCCCGTGGGGACAGGAACCAGCCTGTGGGGACAGGAACCAGCCCGTGGGGACAGGAATCAGCCCGTGGGGACAGGTCCCAGCCCGTGGGGACAGGAATCAGCCCGTGGGGACAGTTCCCAGCCTTTGGGGACAGGTCCCAGCCCGTGGGGACAGGTCCCAGCCTGTGGGGACAGTTCCCAGCCTTTGGGGACAGGTTCTAGCCCGTGGGGACAGGTCCCAGCCTGTGGGGACAGGTCCCAGACTGTGGGGACAGGTCCCAGACCGTGGGGACAGGTCCTGGTCCTGTGGGGACAGGAATCAGCCCGTGGGGACAGGTCCCAACCCGTGGGGACAGGAACCAGACCGTGGGGACAGGTCCCAGCCCGTGGGGACAGGAACCAGACCGTGGGGACAGGTCCCAGCCCTGTGGGGACAGGAACCAGCCTGTGGGGACAGGAACCAGCCCGTGGGGACAGGTCCCAGCCCTGTGGGGACAGGACCCAGACCGTGGGGACAGGACCCAGACCGTGGGGACAGGTCCCAGACCATGGGGACAGGTCCCGGCTGCTGAGGCAGCACACCCCAGGTCTGTCCGCAGTGTCCCCGCACAGGGCCGGGCTCTGGGATCGGGGGATTTTGTGGGATTGGGATCCATCATTCCCYTCCTGCTTTAGCCCCAGCCTGGCTYGGTGCATCCTGAGCCACCCTGCTGCCAGCCCGGGGTGACACCGGTGTCCCTCAAACGCTGGGTGGCCGCGGGGCAGAGCAGAGAGCGTTCCGTRTTGTGGGAGCGCACAARTTCCCACCGAGCAGGAATCGACGAYGCAGYGTTAAAATTAACAATAAKCCGCGATTTTCCCGGWGGATTCGCCGCAAATCTGGGYTGATTTTATCCYGATTTTACAGGGGCATTTAACACSCAGCTGGGGTTGCTGCTGGGGTGGGGTGTGCCGGTGGGACGAGCCCGGGAGCGGTGGGACAGGCACGGTGGAGAACGGGAGCGCTCCCATCCCCTCCTCGGSCGCTCTGCCCCGCTCCGCACCCGCAGCCCGCGGTGACAGAGCCGCTAACCCGGCTWGCAGGGCGGGACCGGCTCCGGTTTCACTCAGGAAATACAAGGGGATTAATGGGCCGGGGCTCAAGGCACGGCCCCGCTCCGGCCCTTCCTGGCGGATCCCGGCGGCTGCGAGGGCACCCCCGGGGCAGCGACCTGCGGGGAGGGCAGGGGAGCAGCAGGAGGAGATCCCGCTGCTGGGTCAGGATACCCCCAAACCCCCTGCCTGGGCCCTGCTGGGAGTTGTGGTGGAAATGGGATCAGCTGGGAAGAGCTGGACTGGGGTGTTAGTGGGGTGGCATCAAGGGACACGTGGGGACAATGTTTGGGATGCAGGAA